AGGGAAAAATAAATAAAAAGGCATTGGTAAAATACAAAGGAGGTGAAAAATATTTTCAGAGTAAATACAGGTTTTGAAGTCTGAATGTTATTAAGGTCACTGAAAATATTTTAACTTCACCTTGATCCTGTTCAAATCCTCTACACAAGCTGAACTGTTTAAATAAGTTTCTTAATACGTGTTTTGCTAGGCCAATTCTAAGATCAAAGCAAGCAGATAGTAAGAGTTTTCATATGTTGTCAGGGAAGCTGTTTTCTTGTTTGTTTGATTTCCGCCCCACCCCCAGGTACCCAGTACTTATCAATACTTACAAGGAGAATGCATATAATGCCGACAGGAAGAGAGCGATGCCTGAGGAGGCGGCTGGGGCTGTGGCTGTGCAAACATACTTGATCCATATCCGTCTATTGTTATTGATTGGCTTGGGCCAGCACCAGCCTGATGCCCATAAATTGAAGTTCGAGATGAAGAACCAGGACAGCAGGGGTCAAAAGCAGATGTTCCATGAAAAGCACCACTTCCATGACTTCTTATACCACTGCTGCTTAAGTCTACTGGCAATGCCTGCTGCATAAACAAACCATCTTTTTTCAAGCAATTCTTCAGACATTGAAAACAAAGTCACCCTCAAACATAATGCAATAAAAAATAAAAATAAATACTATCACAAGCAACTGGGATCCAATTTTTTAAGTTTTAAGGCTCAACTCTGGAACATTCTTTAGGTATGATTAACATGTCTTATTCCTAAACTCTTGAATCTGGCAAGAGAGACTAAATTCATTACACCAGATTGTGTAAAAAAACCCAAACAAAACAAAAAACAAACCCACACAAAAACCCTATGATGGATAAATCAGTGAATATATGGGAGCTACATGCACTGAAATATTTGGAGGCAAAACCCAATCTTTAATATTTTCAGTTGTGCCTAATGTATTACATTTAAAACAGAAACCAGATTGATAGTTCTGCATGCTGTAAATTAAGTTCGCACAGTACTGTTCTTACTTAAAACTGTATTGTTTTAGAGCTGTGATTTTAGTTACTTAAAAAGCCTTAAAAACCAATGCTTTTAGAAGAGCAACTCTTCTATACCTTTTATAAACAGAACATTAGACTTGATGTTTTTGTCCCCTTAAAGCAGCTCAATTATTTGCACTGCAAAACTGCTATGATCAGCAGAGTATATTTCAAGGTATTTATCTTTGGTTTGCTTAAACAGCCACTATCATCATACAGTCATCAAGAGGATGTCGGTGATTACTTGCTGGATTATGACTGTCTGTAAAATTTCAATTTTTCTTGTCCATATATTACAGCTCAAATTTTCCTTTTAGTTCCCTTCTATAATGCCTGCTACAGAACAAGAGAGTAATCTGCAATTCAGCATCCTATTCTATTCTCTCTTATCTACAACTTGAAATTTCAAAGGGAGAGTCACAAGAATTAAACATGCCTGGTCATGGTAACTAGCGCCAGAACTGCTGCTTGCTCCACAAGGTGCAGGCACTGGAGGAGGCCTTTCAACAGGGCAGCTGGAGTCACTGAATGAAGGAGATAGTGGAACAGCTGGGTGAGGGTGGTGGTGGTGGTGATGTTGAAAGTGGTGGCCATGCTGCTGAAAGCAGCTTGTATGTGGGTGCCCCAATGCATGATGAGTCTGTGAAGGTCCTCCACAAGGAGAATGCTGAGGGCAGCATGACGGCAACCTTGGCATGGCCGGAGGGCCCGTTTCCAGTGTCGTATTAGATGCAGTTCTTCTTATATCATCTTGAAGATAAAGAAAGTTAATATTAGAGTGAAAGAAATTAGTAAAGCTGATCACCATAAAGCAGTGCCCTAAATAAAAAAAAACAAAAACAAAAACAAAAACAACCTGTACTTCACAATTAAATAATTAACCAATTGAAAAACAGATCTAGACTAAACCAAAACAAACTGGATACAAAAAAGAAGACTTAGCTATGCCTGCCAAATGAACCAAAACTGAATGGTTGAGGTGGATGTACTCATGGGAACCACTAGACGATGTGAACTGACACTTGCGTTATTCCACTAATTTAAGACTTGTTATCAATAGGTAAAGAAGGAAAGATTGTCCCTGTGGTTAGTGTGCAGAGACCTCAAATTTTTGTGCAACTGTGGTCAGCTCAGGTTTTTTGTACCTCACCTGACTTGCAGATAGGGGCAGAGCACCCATGTTTCAGAGATGTTATGAGTGCTACCTGTAAACACAGCTCTATTACAGATCAGCATCTTTACAGATCTGTATAAATGTGCTTCCAGTGAAGTAATCTACAGGGGGAGGTTCAAGGAATCTGTATACATCCTTCACTTCCTTACAATACACACTAAAAAAACCACCCCTGTAACACACAGCAAAGGAAGACTTAATTCCATGTGAACTACATTCTACCTCCTCAAAAAGAAAGTGGTTCATTAGGTATAACCAAATCATTCCAGCAGGCAAAAGCAGAAGGCTCCAGCATAACTTCCTTCATCTTTGGGGAGAAATCAATGATCTTTTTCAGATTCCTGTCCTCTCAACTTACTACTGTCATGTTCAGTACTAAAAGTTCACATGCCGTTTAATCTAGAGAATGCCGATTAAGTTCCTCTACCTCCTTTGTACTAGGAGGCAACACAACAGTTTAGAAAGCTCTCTTATTCTGTACCTCCAGCTGAAGTACCAGCAGTGCTGCCACTGGGAACACTAGAAGTCGTCTCTGGTGCTGCAGAGGGCTGGCTGTTGGAGATGTTCGGAGCTGCATCAGAGGCCTGCTCTGAGGTAGACGTACTAGAACTGTTACTGGAAGCAGAACTCACAACCTGCGGTTCCACTCTAGCTGACGTGGTTGGCACAACTGTCGGCTCTAGCAAAACAAAAAAAGTTTTCATGTTCTTTAAGCTTTAAAAGCTGCTGGGTTTTTTTTTTATTGTTGTTGCTGGTTTTTAATTATTTTACAATAAATTCTCGATTCTGGTCTTGTCAAATGCTAAGAAAACTGGAACACAAAAGCCTGACAGGTACAAAATACAAAAGTTAATTCTGTTTCACTTGTGTGTGGGGAAAAAAATTATCTTCTTTTTTTTTTTAAATTCAAGTCAAATTTTAAGAATATAAAATCAATTCCCAACCAAATCTGACCTATCCAGTTTTATTTACTGAATAAACTACCACTAGAAAGGAAATTCCTTTTGAGTGGCATTCCTCAGTGGTTGGTATTGGGACCGGCACTGTTCAACATCTTTGCTGGGAACATGGACAGTGGGGTTCAGTGCAGCCTCAGCAAGTTTGCTTACAACACCAAGCTGTGTGGTACGATCGACACGCTGGAGGGAAGGGATGCCATCCAGAGGGACCTTGACAGGCTTGAGAGGTGGGCCCGTGCGAACCTCATGAAGTTCAACAAGGCCAAGTGCAAGGTCCTGCACATGGGTCGGGGCAATCCCAAGCACAAAAACAGGCTGGGTGGAGAATGGATTGAGAGCAGCCCTGAGAAGGACTTGGGGGTGTTGGTTGATGAGAAGCTCAACATGACCCGGCAATGTGCACTTGCAGCCCAGAAAGCCAACTATATCCTGGGCTGCACCAAAAGAAGCATGACCAGCAGGGTCAACGGAGGTGATTCTCCCCCTCTACTCCACTCTTGTGAGACCCCACCTGGAGTACTGTGTTCAGTTCTGGGGCCCCCAACATAAAAAGGACATGGACCTGTTGGAGCAAGTCCAGAGGAAGGCCACGAAGATGATCAGAGGGCTGAAGCACCTCTCCTATGAAAACAGGCCAAGAGAGTTGGGGTTGTTCAGCCTGCAGAAGAGAAGGCTCCAGGGAGACCTTATAGCAGCCTTCCAGTACCTTAAAGTGGCCTACAAGAAAGCTGGAGAGGGACTTTTTACAAGGGCATGTAGGGATAGGAGAAGGGGTAATAGCTTTAAACTGAAAGAGGGTAGATGTAGATTAGATAAGGACAACATTCTTCAACTATGAGGGTGGTGAGGCACTGTAACAGGTTGCCCAGAGAAGTTGTGAATGCCCCATCCCTGGAAGTGTTCAAGGACAGGTTGGATGGGGCTTTGAGCAACCTGATCTAGTAGAAGGTGTCCCTGCCCATGGCAGGGGGGGTGGAACTAGATGATCTTTAAGGTCCCTTCCAACCTAAACCATTCTATGATTCTATGAAATTACTTAGGTACTTTGATGAAAACACTTGCTGAAATCTTTCATAAATCCACAGGCAAACTACTCTTACCATTTTGTTAATGCCTACAAAGCACAGAAAAACTTTTCGATAACTAACCAAGAACAGCAAAGTAACATCTAAACTAGCAATACTACTTTACAAACTTCAATCATTCTACACACACAGTACTAAAAGCTATAGCAAGATAAACTTGGTTTCTAATCTCAATACAGATTAAAAGCAGATTCATTAAATCAGAATTTGAGACTTCTGTTAAAATTACACACATGTTCATTTTGCATATTGTAATGGTAATAGATGACAATATATTTAATTGGATCCAGGGAAATACACCAAACACTTGATAAATCTTGTTCTCTACTACACAATTCTAAACAGGTTAAAATTTAAAAAGATACTTGGTGGCATAATTCAAATTTAGTTTTGAAAAAGTCTGCCTTTGACAGCAAGTTTGAAATTTCTCTCTAATTACTGACAAGGCAATGACATGACTAGGAATATGAGATACCATAAAAGGGAGTACCATCAGAAACAGCTCAGATTTTTTTTTAGTAAAAATGTCTACACGGATATCACGGGAAAAAAAAAAAGCATCAAGACACTTCAAATACTTCTCTTACACAAAGTCTCAAAATAAAATATGACTAGTTTTCAAGATTTCTCTCCATAGCCAGTAAGTATATCAGCAACTCAGCAAGCAAGGGAATAAATGTTATCTCCCTTCTTGCAAGTCTTCCAACTCATCACATTAAAAAAACATGATCTGATATCTATGTTTAAATTCCTTTGGATTTTAATGTGGCATTCCAATGGATTTTAATGTGGCATTCCAATATACTAATTTTATTTAAAGGAAAACATTTTGGGAGAAATGTATTAATGTTTAAATTTAGAAAAAAGACTAGCAAGTATCTAGGACACGTATAGCCTAACATCAATACGTGATCACAGAGTGCTCAAGACTGGATGCTGATACATTCTGAAAGCAATCCCGCAGTCAGACAATTCTCAATTCTATCAGCCTCAATCACCGTGCTAGCCTGTTACTGTTTTGACTCACCATCAGCAATACAGACAGTTCTGTTTCTCCTCCCAAACCCAGTAAAAGCCAGTGGGCTTGGTCAATCTCAAACTACTACCTAAGATCCTTCTGCTCATGGAAGTAGCTAGCAAAGTTTTAACACCAGTATCTTTGAAGACATCAGTAAAGTTACGATAAAGTGCATAGCTGCCTTGTAACAGTGTTAATTTAGATTTTTAATAATTTTACACTAGTTCACGCATTAAATTTGATGGCTAAACCCAAAAATAATATCCCTGAAATCCTGGAAGACTCATCTTAGAAAGGTATTTCCTCTGGGGGAGGGGGCAGAAACAGCTAGTCTTAAATATACACATTACAGAAGTTCATTAAGCAATAATCTTTTTTACAAGAATTTGGTTCCTGAATTTAACTAAATTCTATAATTTGAGTTTAAAGAGTAAATTAAAGCAATGGATGCCTATTCCTCTTCAATGATAGAGCTGTTGGGATGCTTCATAGTAAATCCATAAAGAAAACAATCTGTAAATCAACCCATCCTCGTCCTTAAAAACCATCAACCAACCAAAACCAAGTCCAAACCCTTCCAACTCTCTAACCTACCCCAAAAATCAAGACAACTTGAACAATAAGATATTGCAAGACACTAGCTTGTGATGCACTCGGGGATAGAACTAAATCAGGACAAAACTTCTGTTAAACATTAAAAGTAGCATGCACCCAAGAAATCCCCAAAACCACCACCACCAACAACAACAAATAGACCTGCAAAAATATACATGAGCTTTAGTTTTCCCTTCTCTCAATTTCTGACAATACCTGGAAGTTGCTTTTAGCAGGAATAGACTTATTAAATGCCAGTAGGTTTTAATGTTAGGAAACAATGAGAGGTTACAACTTCAGAAACCTAACATACTTTACTAGTTTTGGGTTGGTTTGGTGGGTTGGTTTTTTTTTTTCTTTTTAATTATTTTTACTGCAAGGCCTGAAAGTGCAGTAACTATTCCAAAGCATAGGCAGCGACAGATTTTCCTTTTATAGTGTTGTATTGAAGTAAGTGCATATTTTTAAAGAAGCAGTTCCAACCTGTTCTGTAATTTCTGCCTGGTGAGTCAGCCCTCAGACACACACCCAAGTCTGTTTTGGAAGAAAAATTAGATCTGGTAGACCCACTGGGAACGGCTAAACTTTTAATTTTAAAAGTAAGGCCGCAAGAAGATTTTCTGACAGGCTTGGAAATTAGTTTGTTTAGAATTGAGACTTTTCCATAGAATGGTATGTTACAACTGATGCAATTAATTCCACTCCCCTTACACTGATCATCCTGCTTCTGAAAAAGGAAAGAGATTTCTCAGACCAATGCAACTTACCATCTTCATCCACTGTAAGGTCCACTACTTCTGCTGCGTTCTGTCTCAGTGGCTGTATGACTGTGGAAATCCTACTGCGGTTCCGCTGTTCTTGAGGTCGTCCAGCATGAGAACTAGAGCTTTGTCCCCAGTGTGATCTTGTGTGTCCAAGTGTGGAACGAGACCTTAAAAAAGGTAACACCTTAAGTATTGACCTAAATTTTGCCATTATTAAATTTTTCTCCTCACTGTTTGAAGTATTTTTTTTATTATTATTAGAAAAGCATTTTGTTACATTGAAATACCCCACTACTCCGCATTTACTAGATGTGTACTTACAAACATTACTGCAGCCTTCACTAGATAACTTAATGGCAAATACACAACAGGCAGAGTTTAAAGATCTTTAAACCATGTTGCTAGGAGATACATACAGGTAACTTACAAAAAAATTCACCGTGAAACCCTACAACTGCAGTCAGGCAGCAATTATATCTGATGTTATGTTAATAGTAAATGAAGAGTCTCCAAATCCTATACTATTCCTATGCAGTCTGAAACAGCAGATCTATGAATGATGACAGAAGTGTAAAGACAAATATTTGTAAACATTAAGTTCTTTTGCATGTTAACTTGTGACAGAGTATTTCAGATTCAGAGGATCATTTCTATACTTTAAATTAAATTTTAAAAAATGTCCTAAAAGTGCAAAACCCCTGGACTTTTCTCTTTACTATTATTACCCCCCTGTCTACACTAAGAATGAACACAGCTTTGTGTAACAATTAAATGAAATGTGGCTTGAGAAGAGCAAATTATAAGCTTGTAACTATAACTAAGGAAAGGGATGGTTTTATCTCTGTAGTATAACACTTAGCACCCATTCTATTCAATTTAGCCATACAAACCCAAATACTCAAATCAATGATGCTTTGGAGTTTAAGTTAAGAGGATACTGTCTTTAATTAATGGAAGAATATTTTTACAGTATTGTATTTACCAGTTCACTCTCAACAACCTTTGACTCTCCAGTATTTACATAAATTAAGTGGCTCTTATTTTCCAATTTGGAAAAACAATGTAGTCAGACTTCAGAAATTCAAAGAGGAAAATGTGAAGAAAAAGGAATGACTTCACTAAAAACAAACAAACCCCACTGCACAAATCACCATGGAGCTCAGTCTACATTTCTGTTCTGCCTGTACTCCCTTTATCCCTGTCTGTGTAACTCACTAACAAAGATCAGTATATTTTCCTGTAGTGCAAAAACGATTCTTGCTGCAGTCTTCTCAACTGGCTTACACTCCAATTCTACTTCAGCAGTCACTGTAATTTAAAGATCGGGTTGGTTCAACAAGGCACATTTTCTTTAAAGTTTGGATTTACATAATGTCCAAACTGACTTGTATGCACTTTGCGTGTGTCCTCCTAACACCCCAGAATGAAATTTACCTCCCAAGCCCCTTTGAAAAATTTACTATTACTCTCTGCTGACCCAAGGTACACTTTGGTAATACAAGGAGAGGTTAAGGTAGAATCATAGAATCGTTTAGGTTGGAAAAGACCTTT